TGATTCAACTAGAATAGGCTACACTAAACCTTATATTAAACTAACTATTATTTAGGGGGATATGAAAACTGCATCATCAGTTAAGCTGAGATAGCAGAGGATGTTACATAATCAGGGGACTTCAAAGCAAACAACTGCAGCTGGCAAATTACCAGTGAAAAGCATTTGGCAAAATAGGAAACAAACATGTTAATCAGTTCTTTCAGTAAACATTAATGTAAGGGTCCAAACCCCTAAACCCCCCCCCCCCCCCCCCCCAAAAAAAAAGAAAAAAAAGAAAGAAAGAAAGAAAAGTTGATTTTTCATTTTCTGGGACTGGCATCTTCCAGACTCACAGCATTAATCAGACCTCTGTTAGAGTGGTGCTCACCTAATCACTGAACCTGAGCTTTCATTAATTTAATATTTTTAGCTTTTTGTCATACTCTGAAGTGGCTGGGTGCATACCTGTTTTCAAAGCAGCCTGTATTTCTGCATCTTTCTTCAGCAGCAACTCCATCAGTTGCCCCGTGTCTGCTACAGGCTCTGTAGAAGTCTCAGTCTTCTTGGCTGACATCAGCTCAAACAGTTCTCTGCAAATAAAAAATAATAATAATCTTAATCTTTATTGATCTATTGAACCTTCGGACTATTGCTACGGCCCCCTTTTAACAGCCATGTAAACAGCTATGTAACTGTAGTTCTCCCTCCCTTTAAGTTTGAACATATCCTTTTATGTGGCATATGCTTGTATCCATATCTTTATAGTATGTTTATGGTAAATTTATAATCACACCAAGGTTTATCTTAGATAGAATATTTTATGAATAAATTTACTAGTACATATGTTCATTATATAAAGATTATTTTTTCATTCACAAACGGCTAGGCAACATAATTACCAATTAGAGAAATGGTAATGCACCAATTGTATTGTATCATCATTAATATATCATATTGTACAAGGTCATGACAATCTATGTACCAGTACAGAAATAAATTGAATTGAAAATTGAATTGATCACAAAATGTGTACAAGTTACATTTTACAGGCTCTCTACTCGATTGTTTTTATTTTGTGCCGAAAGGTTCGCTGCGTCGACAGCCCGCTATGCCGAAGCCATCGTAGAGTTAGATTGCCCATACTTTGAAGAAAATATTTTGAAAATAGTACCTTTTTTATTATATTAATATATAATAGCATTACTAGCCTTTAATACTACAAAGAACATGCATTACACACTATATTTTCTGCATATATAATTGCGTATTTGTATATACTTAAAGTAACTTATAGTAACTGGCTCGCACTGCCAGTAATTACGCCGCGGGATATTCAGGGCACAGACCGCGATCATAAGACATACCGCGAATAGAAAATAGAATTTAGAAAATAGACATTGCATGTGAATGAAGCCTTAGTCCCCAAATTCCCAAAGGCAATCACAGGGCAAGAAACCAGAAAATTAACGAAAGCAGAGAACCCGTTGTCGTGAAAAGCCAATATATTAAGGTAATCTGCATACTAGTAAATTACTGTGACAAATCTTAATTTAGTACATTCTGCATGCCATGGCAGTGAGCAACACTTCGGCCTGGTTTGTAAGTGCCATAACTATAACAGGGTATCATCATGTACCCCCAGGGCCCACCCCCCACCAAAACAAACTCCCACACTCCGGCTTTGTTCAATTATTTTGAGCACGTGAGAAGACCAAGTCACATAAACGATGAAAATAAATTAAGCAAGAATACGACAAAACATAGGCACAACATGTTTAGTTCAATCATTCCGTGTTAAGAGTCAACTTGCACTGTAGCAATTATTAAACCTAATGCTCACTTTGTGATTATTTCTACATCTTCGATTAGCGAGAGCAAAACTTGCTTCGTACCGGGCGCCGCCATCTTTGTTTTTGTTAGTGGTAAAGGGACAATGTGGCGAACATGAAAAATTATATTACTTACATTTTGTACGTATTTTTATCCTTTGTTGAGATATTTAGCCTGGCTGAATAAATATAATACTAATAAAATACAAATAAAACATAATAGATGTAATGTCAGTAGATGTGTCAAGATTTAAATGCACCACTTTCACGGTGTAAACGTTCCCTTACTTCCTGTCAGCCTAGAGAGAGACAATACCAAGCCTAAGCAGGACCGTGCCAAATCGACAACATATTTTTTGTAAATATTTCACAAAATCGTACAAAATGAACAACAAATTTGATGCGTAAGTATAAAATGGGGTTGTGTGTTTTCACGAATACACAATCGGCGTGGATTGCAGTGGTTTTTGAGGGAGTTGAGCGTATTTTTCACCTGGTAGATCTCGTATTTTCTCGGGCATTTGACGCCAGGATCAAAACATTTCATTCGATGTACCAAGACTAGAGTGCACCAAGATAAAGCGTGTAACTTTTGAATCAGAAAAAGGCTGTCTTTACAAATAGGTCCTATATAGGGTGCTACATGGATAATAATACTTTGAAAGCTAGGTACTATATTGTCTTGCCCTGTCTATAATTGCACCGGATTATAAAAAGAAACTCCTCTCATGCAGTAGATATTTTGATCCACGTCATGCCAGTGATTAAGTCCAAGATTTTGTTCAGATATTTGGGTCAAAAATTTTTCAAAGACCTCCCTTTCCCAGCTGTATGGTATTTGTATTCAAAAGTAAAATACGGACTGTTTGTGCCACTAAAGCTGATCTAAACTTAAAGACAAATGTTAAATGTTAGTGATTTTATTGAATAGTAATTNATGACTGAGTACAGTGTAGTCTTGAGTCAGATGATGGACTGGAAAAGACTTTTTCTTTAAGATCCAGAATATTAGAGTAATTTAGTAAGTTTTCTACATGTGTACATCATATTAACTGTGAAGAAATAAATATAAAAACTTACAAAATAACGCGTTGTTGTAAGTCAAGGCTGAGGAGGAAAAAGGTCTACTTATAAATCAGATACAACATCAGTTTTCCAGTTAATTATCTTACCTTCATAAGCCAATGCAAAACTACGGAAGAAAAGGGAATGGCAAAACTTGAAGTAGATGACGGTGTGCAATCTTGTCAGTTCTCCAAAAGCACTTTTAATCTGCACGTCAACATTCTGTTGCACATATTGTAAAATCTTCACCAGCACATTGCATCGTGATGTGAACAGTGAACAACTGACACAGTCGATACCATATGTGTCCTTCACTTCAGATGTCTCATCCTGAACTCACGGATTAAGTTTGCCGGAAGAATCTATAACAGAACCATCTTATAAAAGTGTCCTGGTGGAAGATGACACTTAGTGTACAGAACATTTGATGAAAATTCGGCTTTTCGCCATATTTATAAACATTGATTATATGGGGCCGTAGCGATAGTTCGAAGGTTCAATAGTCCGAAGGTTCATTGGTCCGAATGTTCACTATTGAACCTTCGGACCAATGAACCCTTGATTAAAAAATGGATGAAAATGTTACCACTTTTCGGACCAATGAACCTTCGGACCACTGAACCTTCGGACTATCGAGACGCCCCCGATTATATTAGTATAGATGGCGGTGTGCAAGAGGTGAGACTTTGGATTTGTAATGGACTGCAGCCAGTAACAGATTCACCGCCTTCTTTCTAAGAAACTCGTGCAAGGATGGGACGGGGTTCTGGCTCTGCAATAGATAATACCAGGGTCCAGGCTCTGTGATATATATTGTAATATATTGTGATTTGTATTTAGCAGAAAGACTTAAGGTCGAAAGCTTCAACAAAGCGAAACTCTGATTGGTTAAAAGTTTAGGAAACAATACAGGATCCGTCCAATGAAATTTCTTTATACAATAATTGTTCTTATTATTTGTTTTGTAAACAAAGCAAAAGAGACAATGTCTACACAGTCGCTGGTAAGTTTTATTTTTTTATTCCAAACTGAAACCCTGTGTCAAGTTTAAAGTAAACCCACATAGCACCTTTTTACAGTGTTGTCTATGATGTTTTCGTGATTAATTAATATTCTAAATAAAATTCTTGAAAATTTCCTGTCACACAACGTTTAGCTGATCATTCTTGTAATGGTGCAAATGTTATCTTTCAAAAACTATCAAATGAAGATACAGAAATCTATGATTTGTATCTTGTTTAACTAAGATTTCATTTATTTAATATACTAATTGCAGATGACAGCTGATATGGAGATTGAAATAAACAAAAAAGAACAGTGTGCTCGTAAGTTGTGTGTGTGTTTGTTTGTGTTTTTGATAAATGGACTGGCATTTCATTACAATGGGCCTAAAACAACTAATTAATTTCTTTGTAATATGAAAGTAAGATACCCCATACTTAATTTACATTTATTAAGTGGTAAATTAGAATGTCTGTAGTGAAAATAACAAAAAGAAATATTGATTGGATTTCTTTCTATTTCACTTTTTATTTTGAACAGCCAAAGCCACTGTCAGACTAATTTTGAGAGAAAACCTGTTGAAAGCAAAAGTGGTGGGCAGGGGAACTGCCCTTGGAGGCTGGGACACCCAGCGTGGCATTAACATGCCGAGGACAACCAGCATGGGTGTCCCGTCTCTAAGGGCAGAGTTTCTCCTGCCCAAGGGCTCAAAAATGGAATGGAAATTCATTAAGCCACAAAATGTAAGTATTATATCTTTTTACAAAAGTAATAATATAAGGTAAAAATTATATACTTTGAAATTGAAAAGTCCGGCATGTTTAAGTATTTATTTATTTATTCATTTCTCTGGAGTATTTGATTTATTAGTAATTGTATATATTTATAAAATTAAATTATCATTTTATACATTAACATGTTATCAAATTATTTATTTATTTATTTATTTATTTATTTATTTATTTATTCTTCAATAATTCAGCCTTACCACCCTGGGTCTGGCTGGACATGGGAGCCTGAACCCTTTAGGAACAGGTGCCTCCAGGTGACCACCAAGGACAGCATGGAAGTGACCTGTACTTGGGGAGAACTGGACATGGAAATAAAAGGTGCTTGATCTTATAATTCTATTTGATATAACCAATGGAAATAAAAAGTGAATTAAACGTTTAATTTTGTCATGTATAATGTATGGTAAAAAAAGATTGCTTGATCTCGTAATCGTTTCATGATTCAATATAAAATACATGACCTATGATATGTAATACTATGAAATACATGACCTATGATGTGTAATACTATGATGTGTAATACAAGATCACTCCTTATCTTTATGTCGTACACCTGTCTCTGTCTTAGGCAGACCCCTAACCCAATGGTCAAGGAAGATCATCATATGCAACTTGCAACATAATATAATTTGTTATCAAGTACCATTTCCTATCTTACTAAGTTAGGCAGCCTCTGATGCTGGTGAATTTGTAGAAGTTTTTAAGGGGCTTCCTGGTAACATTAGCAGTATGTTATGGGTATATAAGCTCTCTTCAAGTACAGCTTGGGGAGTCTGTAACCGGCCGCACTAGAGGAGGGTCAATAAAGGCCTGAATAAAGGCCTGCTACGCTGAGAGCTGTCTTGTTGTTCCTGGTCTTGTTAGAGGTGCTTGTGACAATCCTATGAAATATAACCTATGGAAAAAAACGATGAAATGCTACTTTAATTCTGTCACATACATTTTAGACTATACTTTAATTTATATCATAATTTGTGAATGACAAATAAATGTGACATCTTATTCCAGAGTTGAACTACATGTAGGAGCCTGAAGTCCACACCAGTGGTAAGTGAATTGCATTATATAATTATCACAGCTAGGGGACACTTGGTCTGTTTTACTTCTCCAGCAGGTAACACAACAGCAGTGATGTGTTTTCCAGAGATCAACTACAAACTGACTGATCTCTACATTTATTTCTCTGGCTGAGAGATCTGGAGTCTCCTAAGACAACAGGGACAATCCAGCTATCGGTTTGACCGACCAAACTCACTCCGAGCTCTGATCTCCAATCTCTGTTCTCTTATACAAAGTTCTTCTCCTTATATACTAATACACACAAAATACATTACAGTGATTCTTAAAACAAGTCAGAGATATTGAAGCCAATTAACAGAATTAAGACATATTACTAGAGACCTTTAACATAATTAAAGTCAGACTGCTTTAAACTCTAATTTGGGGATGAAGCCGTAAATAAAGTTATTCAATCCTTTTTAAACTGAAACATCCTTTAAAACTTTGTTACAGTTCTTTTCAACAAATAAAATACATTAACAGATTCATGTAATATCATTATGACAGAGACATCTGAACAATCTTTACCAAATGTTAATTTAATTTGATTTAAATGTGAAGTTTGACCGTGAAATCACCACTATGACACAATTGTATTGCTCTATTCAAGACAATAATTCAGCAGATATAGCAATTAACTTGGTGCATTTTTAATCTACTAGCAAGGAATCTTGAAATAAAATTATTTATGTCTACAACACTCTGACTCTCAGGGTGCAAGTCTGAATTTAAAGACCTAGCTAATATGCACTAACTCCATGGAAACTCTCGCTGAATACAATCAGATTAACAGACTAACACCCTCCTTTTGTCTCCAACATCCAGAATTACCAGGTTTACTGTATTTTACTCAAAGCCATGATGTATTTGATGTGTTAAGTTTAGAAAGAACAAATACATGTATTTTGTTTTGTTAGATTTCAATTCAATTCTCATGTTTCAGCTGATACCAACATAGTAACAATTGTAAAGAATCTTAACACTAAAGAGAAAGATAAGACTGGAATCTCAGTAATTATTTTGACTTTAATACACACATGAAACATACACATGTGCACACACACATACATTAGCATATGCAGGCACACAGACATGTACATGAACAGTATGTTGCTCAGTATGTCTGAATAATTATAAATTTTAATATACTTATGACACATGCATGCACACACACACATACACTAACAAACACACTGTAAGCATGTTGCTCAAGCAAACTCTGGTCTTAAGCATAATATGATAATATATTAATTTTTTTAGTCAATTAAGTCTTCAACAAATTGTAATACTGAATTGTATTTGAATATGCACAGATATGGAATATTAAGTTTTTATGTAATGTCTCATTTTTTCTTCAGTCGATACCAAAAACACAGATGATGAAGGCATCAAAGAAAAAGGTAAGACAGTAAGGGCAATTTAAAAGGAATTCATTAGCACACACAAGTGGAATTTAGGGTGGAAAATTTCATGCACAAATCCAGAGTTAAATTCACTGATCATTTATCAAAAAACAGTTAATGTTTGAATGTTTCCTTGACTAAGTTAAATAATGTACTGTATCCTTGCTGTGCACATGTATGGGATGTTTAATTTGTTTTCATTTCTTTCATCAGTCAATGTCAAAGACACAACAACCGTGACAGAGGATGTGAAGGAGAGAGGTAAGACAGCAGGGTTAACAGAAAAGGGATTTAATTATTTATTAGATTGATGGAATATGATTGTGCATGTACATGTGCACACACAAACACACACATAAACACACACACACAAAAGAAAGGTATAGTACTTGTACACATGTTGCACAAGCAAAGTCTAACCTTTGACAGACTTAAGAAGATACTTAATCTGCTGAAAAATTAATGCTTCTGCTGTTTAAAGATTGAACACACATAATGTTGTCTTTAAAATTCAATTCAGTTCAACTCTGTTATTTCAGATGATACAAAAGCCAAGAAAAATGTTACAATTGTTAAGACCCTTAGTATTGAGGAGATAGGTAAGACAGGAATCTCATTAAAATAATTTTGACTTTTAATATACTTATGACACATGCATGCATGCGCGCACACACACACACACACACACACACCACAATCATGTTGCTCAAACAAAATCTGCTCTTTAGCATACTTAAGAAGATAATTTTTAAAGTCGGTTAAATCTTTGAATGTTCTTGACAAATTGTAATGCTGAAATCTATTTGAAAATGCACAGATATAGAATGTTAAAATTTTATTTGATATCATTTTTTCTTTAGCTGATATCAAAGACACAAAGAGTGTGTCAGATGCTGAGGGCATCAAAGAAAAAGGTAAGACAGTAAGGTCAATTTAACAGGAAATCATTTAAGACACCTAAAAAATGTAAACACACACAGATGGACTTTAGGGTGGAGACTCATGCACANAGCTATCCATGTTATGTCTTTGCACAACACCCATTGATCACAACCTACCAGCGCCTTGTGAGTTATTGAATAACCGGAAGTATAAAACAAATATTCCCGCTGGACAGTCACAGTAGAACTCCGACTACAATGTAGCATTACAGAAGAGACAGAACGCGAGCAAAACGCACTATGATCAGCATGTCAAACAACTTGCACCTTTACATGAAGGAGAATTTGTTCGCATGTATGACACTCAGAATAATACATGGCAACCTGCCAAGGTTAAAACTGTATCAGACAAACCCAGATCTTATTATGTGGAATCCAATGGTGGAAATTACCGACGCAACAGGAAACACATTCATAAGACAAAAGAACATTTTGATTTCAGAAACAATGAGATTGAGGAAACTGATGAACCTCTTGTTGACATTACAAACACAGAGACTGTTACAAAATGTGAAACACCTCAATCTCAACCCTTACGCAGATCAAGCAGGAACATTAAACCTCCAGAGAGGCTGAACTTATGAATTATTTCAGTAATAGTGACTGTAACAAGTCAGTTGTGAAAGTGTCACAAATTGACTGTAATTTGAATAAGCTTAATCATAATTGTTTCATTTATGAACTCTGGACTTGAGATTCTGTTGACTTTTGTGTTAACTTGAGTTACATAACAACAGAAAACTACGACAATGTCCTTTATTCAAGTTTTACTTGTCCATTTGATTTAATTTTAATAATTATGAAATTATTAATTGTAAATTTTTTGAGTACAGTTGCAAGCATGAAATAATATGGTGCAATGACTGCTTATTGAAGGTAATATTGAAGGTAATATATTATTGCATATTAGTAAGTGTGGCCTTATGTCCCACATAGGATGAAGAGGAATGATGATATTAGTAAGTAATATTGTGTCATATATTTCAGCTCCCAAGAACAGGTGCCCATCTAGGTGGAGAAGGTTCCTAAATCTTTTTATGTCTTGCTTCAGACGAAGACCAAGAACATAAATGGTAATTATTATTGTTATTGTTTTTGGCATTGTTGTTAAATAAATCTAACACTCTGGATACTTCAGAAATGAGGAAAACTTGACAGCATTTTAAAAAAGAACAGATTCATTACATAGTCGCAATGAAGTTGTTTTGTTTCCTTGTTTTGATGGCATCATAACTAAGTGAACTTTCTGTTTTTAAGAGGTACACTATGTCAAACAGCTGGTAAAACATGTACAGTAATTGTATGATAGCAGCTGGGAGCTACTGGTTATAGAGTTACTGTCAACATCTTTTTACAGCTAATACATTTTAACTGAATTATGTTTTAATATTTTCATCTTCTTATTTTTCAGGGTCATCATTGCAGAACTACTATTGCCTCTGAAGTAGCCAGTTAAAAACTTCAAATGACATTCTCTTAATTTTACAATAAAGTATAAATTTTGTGTAATCAAACGTGTTTTGTTTTTCTTTCTTTTCTTAAATGAGACAATGATTCAACAACTTAAACATGACAAAAACAATTTCTTAAAAAAAAAATAATTTTATTGCTTGTGAGCAAACTGAAAAGAAAAAAAATTAATCACTTAGTTGTCTCAGTTAATGGGTCAAAGTTTAAACAGACAATACAGTCCCACACATTTTGATATTTTTATTAAAATTTTATTTAAATTTTATTAAAATTTTATTTTATTTAAATTAAAATTTTGATAAAAGGCTGTAAACAAAAATAAGTTTTAAGTACTATATCAGTCTTTTGCGATGACTCATGAATCACCCAATGGGACTACTATAAATTTTTGGGGAAAAATGAAATAATCTTATTGCCAAAAATTAATGTTGCTTGCTATAACATATGAATCTTCCAATGGGGCTATCATAAAAGTTGTGGAAAAAAGAATGAAAAAATATTAATTCTAAATATCAGTGTTGTCTTATATAAAACTGTCTTGACACCAGAAAATTATGAATTTTAAAGTGATACACTCTAAATAGTTTCTCTGATCCCAATTACTGCTGAGTTTTAAGTAACTTTGAGAATAAAAACATGTCTTTGTTCTACTGGTCAAGATTTGCATTTGATGAAATGCACCAGATTTGTCCTTGCTGTCATCCTGAGAGGGAGGTGGTCTCCTATAGGCTTCTCTTCTGTTAATTAATCTGGAAAAATGTCACAATATGTCTTCAGACGATATCCATTGCTTAAATTGATCAAAATGTCTTTAAATAAAGATATTGTTACACTGTAAAAGAATATATTAAATACCCAACTGCAGGAATCATTTTAGTAAGAAAAAATGACACTTTTTCGTATTGTCCACTATGCAGATAATGCAACTTCTAATGAATTGCTTATGATTTAATAAATTAATTTATACCACAAGTTTTACCTTAGCTGTCAGCTGTGGTACCATTTGGTCTGGAGTTTGTTTGTTACTCTGATCTCCATGACAACAGGTCCAGATGATTGTCTGCAAACACATCAAAGATGGCGTCCAGAGCCTCAGCAACCACCCACAATTTCTGGTCCTTGGTCACTACTTCCAGAGAAATGTGTCAAAATTCTGAAGGGAAAAAAAATTTAACATCAAAACCGGCAAATATACAGACACCAAACAGCAACCAAAATTTCAACAACATTAGCAAAAGAATTTTAAAAATTCCAAAAGCAATCAAAGTGTTCTCTTTAACAACAGGTAAAAGAAGTAAATTTTTTTTAAACTCTTCACAAGCTCTGTTGGTTTTAAGATCATCAGTACACACTTTCATGTCAGAAAGCTTTCAGTATTTTTAATTGTTATCAACTGGACACAACAGTTCATTTAACACTGGTACTATTTGCTATGAGTAAACCATGAAAAAAATGTAAAATTCTTTGAAAAGAGACTTTCAAGTCTATAAAAGAAGTAAAATATTTTTTATTGATCCAAATATTTTTGTTTGGTTTGGTTTTCTGACCAGTCATCAATACTTCTGTGTCGACCCTCTTTCATTATTTTAATCTATTTGATGAACATAACCACAAATGTACACTGGCAGTATTTCCTATGAGTAAAGCAAAATTACATAAAACTCAAATAGGTCATAATATATAATATTAACTAATGTAATGAAAGAAAGAGTATTCCAACTTTAAGGCACAGCAAATTCAATGACTATATCATTAAGAAAACTAAATAACATGACATACATGTACCTATCTGGGGTACCTTGTAGGTGTGTTTCCATCTCTGTCTTAATGGTGTGGTGGCTCACTGATATTAAAGATATTTTCAAATAGTGTTTCCATGGCCTATTGGTACACTACCCTGAAAGACAAAACTTAACATGATCATAAGCTGAGAGAGATAACTTATGTTGAAACAGAAAAGCTGGTAAAAATGCAGTCACAAAAAGTAAAAAAATTGCACACACATACATTAAAAAAGTCCATTCTTGCTCCTTTTTGAAAGTAACATGCCTTGATGGAGTTAATGAATAAAGTTTTAATACCTATAACTGAACTAAATTTTTATATAAATTTCTTAACCTGAACAGGCCCAGTAGTCAGGGGTCGTGTGGGGTCCCTTTTTTTCTGGGAAAATGTTCCCTCTGAGCAAAATTTAATCTAAGAACATAAAGATTGGATGGTAAAAGGTCCTTTTTTTTTCAGAAAAAGAAACCCCTTTTGAAACTGATGGCTGCTGAATGACTTATCACATCATGTACATAACTAGCCTGGCATGTGTGACAAATACAAACTGACTGATAAAATCACTTCTTGTCTTTTAACTAGCTAGATGTTAGCTTGATGGTGTCATGGTACATGTTTACCAATGCTTAGTGAAGTAATAACAGATAATTATATGCAGTGGGTTGTGCAGATAACATCTTTTAAAGGTATACTGTGATGAAAAAACGGGTTAAAACTATCCATTAGGTGCCCAAAAGTCATTTTTGAGTAATGAAAAAAAGTTCTTACGTTTATTTAGTTTTTAAAGCCGATTTTATGCAGGTGTGAATTTAGTTTATGATACTCCCGCGTGGTGGCGCTTTGAGGCGAGTGACGTCACTTGCGTCGAGGCTCAGAAAGCCATATCCGATTCAGCTATCCGCTTGCTAGCAGTGCAAACTAAAAGCGATACACGCAATTGATTACTACATGATCATTTATAAATTCAAACTTTTGAAGATAGATACACAAAAGAAGATGAATTCCCTACGTGGTTATCATTTATTAACCAACAAAATACACCAAAACTATGTTAACAGTAAAGGTTTGGAATCAGGGCAGCGAACATAGTTTTTCACACATGCCCATCTGTCGCGTCG